CCATGGGATTGTCCCTCGGGGGTGTCACGGGGGGGACACCTCCTGCCTGGCCGCAGGGAGGGGACCGGTGCAGGGATGTGCCCAGTGCCTGGCAGCACACACCCATGAGGATGGTGTTTGGGGACACTGGTGGCACTGGGCTGTCCCCACTGAATGCTGTGCAAGCAGGGCCACCTTGCTTGCCATCTGGAGGGGCTCGGTGACAGGTTCATGGGGTGAGGTTTTTGGATGGGGAGCAATAGCGTGGCCAAAAGGTGCTCACTTTCAGGATTTTAAGGAATTTTTAGCAGCAGCTCCCACGTTTGGGTTTTGTGGCGTGTGCTTGTCCACAGCGAGCGTGGGAGGGGAGGGCTCCTGCTCACCGGTGTCGGGGAGGCAGGAAAAGCAGCCGGGAAGGTCAGCGCTGGGCTCTGCTTCTGCTGGAGGTGTTCCTGCATCCCATTTCAGGCTGATGGGGTGATGAAGTTGTACGGGTGAGCTTGCCCTGTGGGTTAGGCAAGGATAAAAAGTGCCCACGTCAATGTATGCAGTTTTCTGCCCACCCACGTGATATTTTTTGTGCACTGGGGGGGTGGCCTCTGGAGCTAGACACAGTGATTTACCCAGGAATCGGCATTTGGGGTTCAAAGCAGATATTCTTGGTTGCTTTTGGGTTCGGGAAAACACGAGTTTGCATCGTCTTAAAAGAAAGGTTTCTGCTTGTTTTTTTTTTTTTTTGTCCTTTCCAAGAAGAAAAAAAATTATTTATAGTAAGTAGCCAGTGTAGCCAAAGCAGTGGGAGGGAGGCAGCAGCACCGAGCCTGGCTCCAGCAGCGGGACTTGGGGTGGCCACGGAACACAAGCGGTGTTTGCCCAACCCCAGTATTTTCCTGGCTTTGGGGGGAGGAACAGACAGACCCTCAGGACCCGTGGAGCACCTCTCCATCCAGCAGTGGATTTTTCGGTGGTGCAGCTGAGCGCCCTGGGCTTCGCGTGGGTGGGCTGAGCGCCGCAGCCAGCTGCAGGGCTTCTCCTTGGCCCCTTCTTGTCTTTAGCAAAATAGAAGCGTCTGCAGAAGAAACTATCAATGACATGGTCTCTTCTTTGCCCCCTTGTTTTGCTGGTCGATGGGGTTAGCACAAAGGACACAGGCACCAAACTACAGAAATTAGCTTATTTTTACTTATGTTTAAAGTGATAAAGTAATGAGAAAATAATGCAGTGAAAATAAATTAAAGCAAGATAAGGTAAAGCAGCAAAATAATAAGCAAACTACTACAGCAAGCAGAAAGTAAGGTAATGCACCTACTCATTACTACATAGAGTTAGCGATAGTGATTAAGAAAGATCCATCACCAGTTGCCCTGATAATCTGTTACTCATCCAGCTCTGCAGTCGCTGGGGAGCCCGGTTGCAGCGAGGATTTGGAGAGTCCTTCCCGGCAACTGGGAAATCTCTGTACAGTGCATCCACTGTATAGATGAGGCTTACAAATTTCCCTGCAAATGCTCCCGGATTTTATACAGTTGAATAAACAACTTTCTATCTTAAACTGCAAAAAACATCTGGTGTGGTTTTTCCCTTGTTAACTTTCATCTCGAGTTTGGCTGGAACAGGAGAGGGAAGATCAAAAGAGCAAAAGAATCTGGTAATCTTGATTATGTATCTATCAACAAAGCTTGTCACGACCCTGCCACACTCTTTTACCGTCTGTGGTGATAGGCACATCAGTTTTTAAGTGT